ATGGGTGGAGCTTAGAAATCTGGGGTTCAGCAGTCTCTCTGGTGATTTGGGGAGGTGGTCCGCCTCACTCTGAGGGGATCTGAGGCCTCCCGAAGGAAGGCAGAGACCAGCAGCCCTCCAGTGGTTCCTGTCCAGTCCACTTTTCAGAAATCTATCAGTCTGTTGTTGTTTTTTTAACCTTGGTCATAAAATCCATATATGTCCACTGTGGGAATTTTAAAAGCACAAACCGCCACCCGTAATTCTACCAACAAAGGCAGCTTCTACTGGCGTTTGGGTGTATTTCTCTCTGAGCTTTGTTCTCTGCGCTTGTTGTGTTATAGCTGATACGATGCTGCAGATATCATTCTTTGCCCTTATTCGTTTCGTGTTGGGTGGTGAACACATTTCCCTGGGATCCGGCCCAGTGGGACCGTGTGGCCTTGGGGAGGAGCTGAGGGTCTCCTGTCCCACTGATGGTTTCAGGGTGTGAAGGTCAAAGGCCTCATCCTCATCAACCCCCAGAACCCTCTGGGTGATGTCTATTCCCCAGGAGAGCTGCAGGAGTACCTGAAGTTTGCCAAGAGGTGAGGCACCCCACGCTCAGCCCGTAAAGCGTGTGGCGGATCAGGGTTCTGATGTGAGCTTTGGTGCAGGTCCTGTTGCCCCCTTTAGCCCACTGTGGGTTTCTACCTGCTTTGGCCCTTCCTGGCAGTGGAGTCAGGGGGGAGGGGTTGGTGGGATGCTGCTTCTTTCTTCCTTTTTACAACACCAGCTGCCATTTACTGCCCGCTCTAGGGGCCAGGCCCCCTGCTAAGCATCCTACATGCTCTGGCTCATGTAATCCTCCCAATGACCCTATTAGGTACAGATGCTGTCATTATCCCATTGACTGAGGCTTAGAGTGAGGGGTGGAGCCAGCCGTGAATCCGGGTCTGCCTGTACTTAACTGTCTTGCACTTAACTGTGGCCCTCGGCGGAGGTGCCCGAGGGCTCTGCCTCCCACCCCACCCCCCCATCCCACCACATTGCTTCAGAATCCCCACTGTCATCTGCTTTGTGTGTGCACGGCTTCCTGTTTGTTTGAAAGAAATAGACAAAAGAAGGGTGTTCCTGGAAAAAAACAAGTTTGGTAACCCTGGGCTAGACCGTGGTCCTTCTGGGTTTCTGATTCACTGCCATCCCGCCCTGGGGGATGCATTTGGCCTACCAACCAAGCTCTCTCCTCCCCCCCCCCCCC